AACGTGTAGTGTTCCTCTAGCGATTGTATTTTTTCAAGTTTGCCTAATGAAACAGCAGAGTCATGCACGAAATTAGCGGCAAATGGAAGAAGCCTACGGCCAGATCCAGGCAGGCGACGCACCTGCAGCATGCGCGAGCTAAAGTAGCGGAAAATAAGGAAGAAGAGCGGGCAAAATCGAGGCCGGCTACGGCATGTACTACTACGGCTACTCGACAGACAGACCCAGAGTCAGACCACCCAGTCGGCAGAACTAGTGAAAAATTAGGAAAGTTCAAGATAACTGAAGTGAACAAGACGACTGACGAATACATCCTAATGCATTCGAAGAGCTTGCAACAACTAGCGTCGTTTTTCAAGTGCGATCTATGCCGTACTCCCTTGACTACCACAATCACCGAGAGAAAAGGTTCTGCTGCAAAAGTAATTATGTCATGTCCAGACTGTTCTGAAATATTTTCGGAAACTTTCACTAGTGCACGAGTAGCTGAGGAAGAATCATCACGTCCCCCATTTGAGATCAATAGGAAATTAGTTGATGCATTTGTCTCCACTGGTAATGGACATGCAGCAATGCAACGCTTTGGAGCTGTTGTTGGTTTGAATGTAAGTCAGGTTATATTTTTCTGCATTTGTCACTTGAAAGCATTTTGTTATTGTCACCTGACCAATTTATTTTATTTTTTTAGATTATGGATTCACGCTCATATGCCAATCACCTGAGAAAAGTGACACTGAGTGCCGAAGTTCTGAGCAAGGAGGTCCTTCAGAAATCAAGGGACATAGTCCGCAACCATTACATTGAAATGGACCCTAGTTTGGCAGACCAGGAAGTGATTGACATTGACGTTTCTTTTGATGGCAGTTGGCATCGGAGGGGCTTCAGTTCTCTGTATGGCATTGCCGCTGTCATTGACATTGCTACGGGTTTGATTGTGGACTATGTTGTTCTTTCAAAATTTTGCCATATGTGCAGCTTGACAGCTACTGACCTGGGTGAGGACACACCAGAGTATAAAGAGTGGTATGAAGGCCATATCCAAAGTGGTGAGTGCAATATAAACTACGAAGGATCATCAGGAGGAATGGAGGTTGAAGCAGCTGTTATTTTAGCGGGGAGATCAGTAGAGAAAGCCAAATTCCGATACCTACATATTTTAGGTGATGGGGACGCAAAAAGTATTAGTGCCATAAACAAAGCTAAACCATATGGTGAGGGTGTGGAAGTCAAGAAAGAAGAATGTGTCAATCATATCAATAAAAGACTGGGAAATGCTTTGCGAGAAGCTGTAAAGAAGTCTACTGCAAGAGGAGAGAAATTAGGTGGAAGAGGAGATAACACACTAACTCAGGCTAAAATGTTGAAGCTGCAAAGGTATTATACAAAAGCTATAATTGAAAATGCAGGTGATGTAAAACAAATGCAAAAGGCCATAAAAGCTACATTATATCATTGCTCTTCAACTGACCAAAAACCCATGCATCAGTTCTGTTCCGAGGGAAAAAATTCATGGTGTTTTTATAAGAAAGGACTTGCTGAGAAAAAAAAGAAGAAAGATTTAAAGCATGCTAATATGGGCACAAAATTGAGTCAAAATGTTTTCAAAGCATTGTTGCCCATTTACGAAAGAGTGTCTTCTACTGAACTTCTTGAAAGGTGCAAACGACTTGCAACTTCTAATGCCAATGAAGCATTTCACTCCGTTGTGTGGAAAAAATGTCCCAAGATGACTTTCATTTCCAAGTCCCGTCTTGATATTGGAATGGCACAGGCTGTAGCTGAATTCAACATGGGCTTTTCAGCTACTGAATCCCTGAAAGCAGTTGTGACCCATGGCACTCTAGCAGATATTTCTGAGGTAAATTTTAATTTTAATTTAATTTTTATTTATTTTTTCTCAGAAAATTTTACCCTTTTTTTTTCTAATTTTTAAATTTCTTTTTAGACCATTGCAACTAGAATGGACAGAAAAAGGAAGGCTAAAAGCAAGATCCAGAGTTCTGTAGAAACCAAGATAAAGAGGGCCAAGAGAAAGACAGCCAAGAGAGGCAAACAGTCTAGAGAAGAAAAAGAGACTGGGGATGTCTATGTACCTGGGGGAGGGGATTAATCTCATCACATTTTGTATTTCTAGTGTTTTTAAAGTCAGAGCATGTCATTACCTTGATTGTTATTGCTGAAGCACTCCAGCACTCTTTTTTAAGTTTTTACCTTTTGATAGCTCAAAATAAGACTGTTTCATAATGCTGAATTTATTTATCTGTCCATTAAAATAGCTCCTAAATAACTTAAATTTTGTTTACTGGTGTTATTTTTTTCTCTTTTCATTTTTGGTTTCAATATCTGTTATTTTAAAAATTAATTTACCACCCTATTCAAGCTGAAAACATCACCCAACTTTAAGCGCTGTTTTCTTGGAACTACATTTTCAGATATTCCTCGAACCTCCTACGTCATTCCTTTGGAGTAAGAGGGAGGACTCTTGTTGGAAACTGATCAGGGTTGATGCCTCTGTCATAATATAGAGCTACTTTCATTGTTTAAGCCCTAGGATAAAACTTAACATTTTAATTCAGTAATTATTTTTAACAGTGTAGAGATTTTTAAAATAATAAACTTTGATTTTTGAAAGAACTACTTTCTTCTCTAATATACTGAAATGTGGCTCTATATTGTCTTTCAGTAGTCCCTTAAGAACAGAAATAGGTGCGAGACATATTTCTAACTTCAAAGGGATGACGTAGGAGAGCTCGAGAAAAACACATTAATTTACTCTATTTCAATAGTTAACTTTTAAACCATTAGAGATACAGCGGTGGTAGATGCATGACATTTTGTCTTTTTAAAAGTAG